GTCACCTGGAGATTCCTAACACCAAATCCCTCAGTTCCTTTGCAAGCCAAGCTATTTGCAGAACCATGGCTGGTAACTGACCTAGCTTCCTGCCCTTCCAGAGAGAAGAGAAAAAAACTAGGATGGAACACTTTGAAACCTCAGAGTGGGGGGGAGTTCCTCCACAGGGTCACCCCAAACTCATAATCAAATCACATACCATGTCCATGGGCAGAGTCTGCACCACAAAAATCAGGGATCCATGGCTTCGTGGCGACACCATGGCGCAAAAACATGGCTCCGAAGCATGGGTCCTCAGGGTTTTTGCATTCCGTTACCCCAAATGCACCATCAAATCACATGTCATGTCCAGGGCTACGGACTGCACCACAGAAATCACATAACATGCTCAATCAAGATTCTGTTTCTGATGACATAGACATAATTTTGCTGCTAAAACAAGAAATCGGTTTAAACGGAGAACTTTCTCTGTTGCCAGAACCATCAGTATTAGTAAGGATTTCTTCCTATGGAAGGTTTATACACTCTTATGCAGGAAAGAAAATGGGAACTAGGATTGCAAGCCTTAATTTTTTTTTAAACAGCTGTGATTGTGAATTTGGATTTGTAATGTAACTAGCAGTGACAAAACAAAATGCTGTGTGGTTTTATAGCTTGTTTTTCACATCCCACTTTAATTCAACCCTATGTTGAAAATGCAGTATGAGGTTATATGGTGAAGCAGATGGGACGCAGGTTAAAAACTTCCTATAACATTTTGCTTTGGATTCCCACTCATAGGACAATAAACGTTTAAGAGCTACATGTCTGTCTTTAAAGCAGGGAGACAGCAAAGTATCTCTGAGAACTCTGAAGCAAGCCCTTCAGTTCAGCCCCATAGTGAAGATATGTGATTTGATGGTGAGCTTGTGGTGACATAATGGAAAAATCCAGAGGATCCATGCATGTTTTTGCGATGTGGTGGCACTGTAACATTGTGCATGTGGGCTTTTTGTGGTGTAATCTGTGGCTATAGATAAGACATGTGATTTGATGGTGAGCTTGGGGTGACTCAATACAAAAATCCTGAGGATCCACAATATCCGAGATTTGGAACAATGTCTTTCCACTGTGGCAGCTCCATAAAGTGGTGGATCCATGATGTTTGTGGTGAAATCTGTAGCTATGGCCATGATCTGTGATTGGACAGTGAATATGGGTGACCAAATGCAAAAAGCATGAGGATCCATGAGGATCTGTGCTTCAAAGCCACATTTTTGTGCTATGGCACTGCCATAAAGCAGTGGATCCCTGATTTTTTTGTTGCTATCAGTGGTTATTGAACATATGTGATTGGACAGTGAATATGGGTTGATCAAATGCAAAGATCCTGAGGATCCATGATGACTCATGGTTTGGAAATACTTTTTTGCACTGTGGTGGCACCATGGAGTAGTGGATCCATGATCTTTTGGGTGCCCCCTGGGGCCATGGACGTTATATGCAATTGGATAATGAATTTTACATGACTCAATACAAAAATCCTGGGGATTCATGAGGATCCTTGCTTCAGAATAATGTTATTGTAATGGGGCAAAGCCAAGAAGCAGTGGATCCATTATTTTTTGTGTTGTCATCTGTTGGCATGGAGATGATAAGGGATTAATGTGTGAACCAACAAAAAAATCCCGAGGAGCCATGCTTTGGAACCATGGCAACACCAGAAAGCAGTGGATCCATGACTTTTGCATTGTAATCTCTGGCTATGGACATGATATGTGGATTGGTGGAAAGTTTGGTGTGACCCACTACACAAATGCTGTGGATCCATTGCTGCAGAATTAGGGTTTTGGATTGTGAGTGAGGACAGTTGACAAAATGGGACATTCACACTGCTCCACACTTACCAATGAAAAGATGCTACAAATCACAGGTACGTGGGGGAGCAGTGTGATGCTGTATGGAAGGATAAGCTTCTGAAGTTGACATTAGCCCACTGGAACAGTTTTGGGGTCCAAATTACCCCCAACTTAAAGTCTTTTGCTTCTAAATTTCTGTCTATGTTTGGGACACTGTATGTTTGTGAACAGCTCTATTCTAGCATAAATCTCCATCTATCAAAAGTACGTTCACAGCTGAGTTTCCGGTTGATGGTGGCACGCTTGCGGACTCATCTCCCGGGGATGTCTCTGTACTCCAGCAGAAGGAGGGGGCGAGCAGGCTCGTAAACCCCCCCGGGGGCCCAGCGAAGGGACCCTGGCCAAGGAGCTCTGAGGGGTAACCTCTTCGATGGCGGAATGCCAGAGAATCGAGGCGCCTCTTTGCTCCGTGGTTCTTCCAGCCGAGATACCGAATGGTACAAGTGAAGCTAACCAGGTCAAGCGCAGGAGATTGGGCGTGAAAAATGATGAAAGAAGCGTGGTCGGAAGGCCAACTATGAACATGAGTCAACTGGGAAACGATTTTTGAAAGAAAAGACGCTCCCTACCCTACTCCGTAGAACTGGAAAAGCGAGCGGGGGGGACGCCTCCCATGCGCATAAACTGTTGAGCAAAAGGGGGGGGGGGCAGAAGAAAAACGCGATCGAAATTGCCCAGAAGTACTTACCCAATCAAGCTAAGCAGTTAAGCGCATATTCAGAGACTTTAAAAAACTTTCCGAAAGTAAACAAACGGGGGAAAAGATGGTGGGGAAGAGGGACAAAGAAAGACTTTTGAAAACGAAACCAGAGTCCCCAAAGCCGGAAACGACCAGTGAGACGGCAAAGGCTGTAGCTGAGTTCATGCGCCCTCTACTGGAACAGCTGAATAACTTTAAAGAGCAGATGTCCGTGGTAACACAAAGTATTACTGCACAACAAACGCAAATAATGGATTTGATCCAAGTAATGAAGCAGGATGCTGAGAAAGTAAAGGAAGTGGCTGAATCAACACAGAAAGTGAAGAAGAAAGTGCAAAAATTGGAAAAGAAAACTTCTTTGGAAGATCAAATGCTCCAAGTATAAATGGATAAGGCCAATATGGTCCTGCGCTTCCAGGGGGTGCCAGAGAACAGAGGAGAGAATCTTAAAGAACTTATGAGCGAGCTACTTGCCCCAGTAACAGAAATAAAGGCAGAATTATTACTCAACAATATGGATGTGGCCTACAGGTCATATTCAGGATATATAAAGAAAAATAATCTGCCTGGGGAAATTGTAGTAAGATTCTCAAAGAGGCACGTCA